TGACCCAACTGAGTGTGGAAACTACAGAACAGTGTCATTGATTTCACATGCAAGCAAGATTCTACTGAAGATTATCCAAAAACGATTAGAACAGCACATTAGCAGAGAACTGCCGGAACTGTTAGGTGCTATCAAGTCAATTAAGACTTAGAGAGACTTTATGAACAACAGATCTGAATCATATCCTATCCTATGCCATCCTTACTGCCTCTGATACACTTGAGCCCACTTTTGCAGTCACTGTCAATACATCTCCATGGGGACTTCCTCTCTTTTGCTGACCCTCCACTCTTCCAAACGTAATATGCTTTTCCAAGGAAAAGCCTCTCCAAGCAACATGTCCAAAGTATGTGAAACAATGTTTTGCCATCTTGCCTCCAAGAAGCACTTCAACTGGATCTTTCTCTGTTTCATGGGAAAAAAATTTAGAATGGCCAAGAAAAAATATTGTATCCATATAAGCCTTTGAAAAAGTGGAAAATTACATCTCAAGCCTTAAACCAAGATAACAATCCTGGTTCTAATGACCATGTAAGGAAAAAATAGTACTTTTAAAAATTTCTTCCATCGTCTATAATGCATTACAACAAAGAACACTTATGAAAGAACTAGAAATCCTCTTGCAATTAATATGGTGAATGAAAATCATCATAAAGAAAAACAACGAAAGAGAGAACAACCTACTGTCTTAAGGTTTGGGAATTTTCCCCTTCCCTCTCTCCAAAAATCCATTTAATAAGACACAAACATAAAGTTGTTTGATTACAATTCATTAGATCTAAGCAAAAACTCTTAGGTTTTGATTTACAAGTGCCTCACAGGCTTATGACACTTAACTTGCAGCAACTGGGTTTTTGAGGAAGAAGATCACCAAGGACTTTCCCTCTGAGGTGCCTCTTACTTAGAAGCTGAGCATGTTAGCCATTTGCATCACCAAGGGACTTCTTCATAGGTGTAAGTACAGCTAAAGAAACCAAATTAAGTTGGAAGAGGTCCCCAGTTTGGGTATCAAAAATAAGGCACCTGATTTTACTTTTGTAAACATAACTAAATAATCTATTTTACACATTTCCCCCATGATCACCCCAAAGTACTTCCTTGAGAAATACTAAGTCCTGAGCTAGTCTTACATCCTGTATAGATACTGAACAACAGAATGAGAAACTACTGAATATAAAGAATAATTTATTTAAATAGATTAGATAAAGTTTAGGTTAGAAAAGAAAGCAAAAGAAAAGTGACTACAGAGTAAGTCTCTTAAGAAATTTCAGGAATACATACTTTTGTACTAACATGATACAAAGAAGCTGGGGGCTCATTTCAAAACACAAAGGGAACAAGAACCAATAATGAAATGCTTTTCTTAAACAAGTGATTAGGAAATGGAAATGCATAAGTATATTCTGTATAGGTACTAGTCTGAGCTTATCTTCAAGAATGGTAGGGCTCTGTCAGACCCCTACTGCAGTACCTGGTTTTGCTTTAGGCTCACAATTTTAAGAGTGTCACAGGCACTGAGTATTAATACAACAGTTAATGAAGGCAGAGAATAACCCAGATATGGATGCCACAGCAGTAGCCAGCGGCAGAAATAAAAGTAAAAATAAATGTGAAAGCACCTACCTCTCAATGGAACTGTTTTCTTTTTGCACTGAAATAAGCAGTTTTATAACTAACCACAATTATAACATATCCTCTTAAAAACAGTTCTAACCTGCAAGAAAAATCCAAGGCACAGGCCTTTTGTTTTTACTATTTGTTTTAGTTCAAAAGAAATACATTTTTAAATTTGATAAATCAGAAGTATGATACTAGTAGAACTGATGAAACAAACATGAAGACATAAACACAGTTCACCTACTATGTAAGAATTAAAAAGTGGCCTCAAAGGCAATTGTTCCAAAGCTTAGCAGATACTGATTTTCATGCAAAATATATTTTTCCCACTCTGTTGTAAAAGTATATAAAATGATTCTGGAATTAGGTCAGACAGAAAATATATACTTTTTCAACTGGAGAAAAAGCCGAAGTTCAGGTAGATAAATGATTTTAAAGGAATGACATTTATTGGTTACAGGTAGAAATCCTAGCTTCCACTAGCTAGCTCACCAATTTCTATTATGAAAAGCACTGGGTGACAGCTGTTATAATAAAATCTGTATTCTAACAGTGACTGCATCTTATATTTAGAACTCAAATTTAAGTGAGATAGTGATTCATAGAGGATATATAAAAGCAAAAAGACCACCAACCATCACAGAAATTAACAAAAGTTTGGGTTCTTATCTAAAGATAAAATATATACATAATGAGATAATAATTTAATGTAGCTCAGTTCATCTGCATAATAACATTCTGGATTGCAAAATAGAGAAAAACATATTTGGAGAAACAAAATTATGGGTCCTGTTGAGTATTTCGCATATGAAACTTGCTATTTATATTATTCTATCAACATTTTCTCATAACAAACATAAAAATCTTATTTTATTGTCTGTAAACACAGAAAGAAAAGTATAAACAGTCAATGGATTAACAAACTAATGAAATTAACTGCTCTTAACCCAATTCACCAAGGCTATTTTGTCATATACATGAGCACGTATTTCCCTTCCCCTTTCCACCAGAATGCATTATTGGCTGATTGACTGCAAAAGCTTTTATTTTACTGCTATCCTCCTCTCTTCTGTAAGACCAACTATACCAATAGCTAGATGACACTGAAATAGCATACATTATCACAGACAACATCGTTTGTTTTAGAAGTCACTGTAATTCAAGAGTAAGTTACTTGCCATAACTAAGAAAGACTAAATGCCAGCGTGAAGAACAAGTATTTTTAGACCTCAAATTTTAAATACTTCGCACTTTTTTAACAGAGTCTTCTATAATAAGGATCTATCCACAGCAACATTTTTGCTTAAGAGTACTTTACTTATCCAAACTTATAGTGGAAAATTGTAACATTTGTACCCTACAGAGAAAGGCCAAAAAAGGTGACCGTTCACATTCTCAGAAAGAACTAAAAGGTTAATGGTTCATTTTTTTAAAGATTTACAATAAAATCATATGTAACTTCAATTTAGAATCCCATTATTCTTTTGTCTTCTCTGCGAGGGAGGATAATTTGGTCTAGAAACCAGAACACAGCTAACAGTTCATGAAACAATGCTGCTTAACAGGAGGCACAGCAAACAGCA